TTTTGGAGAGGTTTTTGCTATAGGGTGTGTGCGCTCACCAGACAGAGAGACAGAAAGCAAGAAATCACCCCTCCAGGGGGGATGGCCACGCCGCAATCCCTTCTCCTCCATTCTCCTCTCGGGATCTTGGGCACGCACGCACACACGCCCAGGTGAGCTTAAGCCATCAGGTCCAGGACATGAACCACGGTCGACTACGTGGGAGTCCAGCGACACAGCCATTACACTAACTGCTGGTCGTTTTTTTCTTAAAACTTTTTTGGTCTATCTCCCACCCATAGGTCAGTGATCATCCATTCCTTTTCTCTTAGTTTTTTGTTCTTGTTTATTTTTTGCACTTTACATTCTTTTTGGATAGTTTTTATTGCTGTGTTCCAAGTTCACTGGCCTGAAGCAGTCTGTTAGTCCCACCCAGTGAGAAGTTCACTTCAGACTCTGCACTTCTCATCTTTAGAAGTGTCTTTTTTTAAGAGAAAGAATTTTGTTATAGGGTGCTTATACTTGCCGGAGAGGCAGAGAGAGACAGAGAAAGTGAGAAATCACCCCACCCCCACCCAGGGGAATGGCCACGCCACAGTCCCTTCTTCGGTCTCTTCTCAGGATCTTGGGCATGCATGCACATACGCCCAGTTTGAGTTTCAAGTTGCCACATCCAGGACTCAAATCACAGTCGACTACGTGGAGTCCAGTGATGAAACCATTATACCATCTGCAGGTCCCTGTTTGGTTCTTTTTTATATTCTCTCTTTTCTTTCTTTCTTTCTTTTTTTTTTTTTTGTTTTATTTTGCATCATGTTCATGTCCTTTAAACCCTTAAATCTATCTAGCTGCTTTAATGCTCCTATTTGCTAATTCCATAAATCTGTTATCATTGATTATTTTTTTTTCTTTTTTCCCTTCCTAGTTAGGTCATATTCTCCTGGGTTTTTTTGCATGGAAAATTGTTTTTTAATTAAATGTGAATTTTACATTGTTGAGTGCTAATTTTTTTAAGTTTATTTAAAGAGATAAACTTTTTTTTAGAGAGAGATTTTTATTATAGGGCTCATGCACTTACTGAGAGAGAAAGCAAGAAATCACCCCGCAGTGGGGACGGACTGTAATCCCTTCTCCTTCATTCTCCTCTTGGGATTTTGGGCACATTTGCACACACACCCAGCGTGAGTTTCAAGCCATTAGATCTGGGACTCAGATTACAGTTGGCCATGTAGAAGTCCAGCGTCTTAACTACTATACCACCTACTGGCCCCAAGATAAACATTAATGGTCAGATCATTTATGAATCAGTTTTCATTTGTTTGTTTGATTGGGTTTTTTAGAATGTTTTCATCTTTTTAACGAGTAGTCTAGAGCAGCCTTTCCTGCAGGTCTAGGTCAGCCCCACTGAGACAAGACTCTTCAGGGGTCTCCTGAGTGCTGGTATGCTCAGCACAGTCTTCACTCTGTTGGTGAGAATTTGATGATTTATAGCCCTTTGTGAACTCTGGGAATTGTTCCGATTGCAAGTCCCTATTCTTTCCCCCCAGCAGTTGATCTTTGCATCTCAGCAGGACCACTGGCTGTGTTTGGGATCCCATTCCTACCCCAGTCTAGACGTTTTCCTGTAATCAGAAAGCCAGGACAGTAACAGGGCTCAAGTGGTGCACCAGCTCTAGGAATTACGGTCCTACATTGCTTATTGTCCAGTGTCAAAACTGTTGTGCTCGGGACGAGCAGATGGCTTAATGGTTATGTCTCCGGACTCCCACGCAGTCGACCACTCATGCGGAGCATGTGTGCATGCGTGCCCAAAATTCCAAGAGGAGAATGGAGGAGAAGGGACTGAGGCATGGCCATCCCCCCCACCCTACCCTGGGCATGATTTCTTGCTTTCTGTCTCTGCCTCTCTGTCTCTCTGGCAAACGCACACACCCTATAACAAAAATCTCTCTTAAAAAAAAGAAAGGAAAAGGTGTTCATAGACTTTGTGCAGTTTCCTAGCTATTTACAACAGAAAGGTAAATCTAGAGCCTGTTATTCCTTCATATATGGAAGCAGAAGTTCCCTAAAATAATAAGTAGCTCCAAAGAGATTTCCATACAGCAAGAGTTTAGACAGACAAGCCATAAGGACATGGTGTAAAAGGGAGCACGGAGGCAGGGCTGTGCAGTAAAGCAGGTAGAAGATGAAGAAGGTGCTCACGCTGTGTGCTTTGGCTCGCACTGCGGTCTCCCAGAAATTGACTTAGAGCTCACCAGAAACCAGAGTATGACATTTATAGTATCTACAATAGAAACCTACAAAGAAGTTACTCTTCAAAAAGCAAAACCAGGGACCAGCAGTTAGCGTAATGGCTATGTCACTGGACTCCCATGTAGTCGACCACGGTTTGCATCCCGGACCCGGTGGCTTAACCTCACGCTGGGCGCATGTGCGTGCATGCCCAAGATCCCGAGAGGAGAATGGAGGAGGAGGGATTGCGGCATGGCCATCCCCCCGGGGGGTGATTTCTCTCTGTCTGTCTGTCTGTCTGGCGAGCGCACACTTCTCACTGCTCACTGCTGGGTCACTAAGTGTTGGCGGTAGCCGGGCGATGAGTGCTTAGGGAGGGAGGTTCTTGAGCAGGAACAATTAAAGTTGAGGATGAATCGAATCTTTAAAGTTTAGAGAGGAAAAAGGATTGACAAAGGACATTCTATTCTGCAGCCCTGGCGTAAGCAAAAACAAAAAATAATATTTTGGAAGTCTTGACTAGTTGAAGCAAACGTCCTGACCTGCCAGGGAAAAGCGAAGTATAATTAGAGAGGCGTTTTTGACCCGTTTCCTAAAGGGCCTGCATGTCAGGATGCAGTATTTGGTCCTTGTTAAGTTCATTAGAAGGGCGTGGAATCCGGGGCAGTCAGCAGTCTCGTGGCAGTACAGGCCTTGGAACCTGGCTGAGCTAAGGGCTCAGGGTAGAAAGGAAGCATCACGTAGAAGTGAATGAATGAATGAATGAATGAATGAACGAGGTTGGCTTCCTCTGCCTGATGATTTAAGATGCACATATGTTTTTTGTGGGGTATTTTTGTTGTTGTTTTTAAGTGTTTGATGTTGGGCACATGTGGTCATTGGAAAGGGACAGTGAGAGAGATACGGGCAAAGTGAGAAATCACCTCCCTAGGGCGGATGGGGTCATGCCATGATCCCTTCTCCATCCTCTCAGGAGGGTTTTTGGCACACATGCGCATGCACCTGGCATGATTTTCAAGTCACTGGGTCCAGGACTCAAACCATGCAGTTGACCATATGGGATCCATCACCTTAACCTCTATGCCTGCTGACCCTGGTACACGTATCTTCTTCTTTTTTTTTTCTTTTTTTTTTGGGGGGGGGGAGGGGTTTTTTCTCTCGGAATCTTGGGCACGCACACACACGCACCCGGCGTGAGTTTAAGCCACCGGGTCCGGGACTCAAACCACAGTTGACTACATGGGAGTCCAGTGACTTAGCCATTATGCTAACTGCTGGTCCTCACACATATCTTCTTAATCTACACCCTTCCATCTCCTGGCTCCAGTCTGATTTTTCATTTAATTCTTATTATTCTCTCACAGGAGAAGAGATCATTTTTTCTGAAACATGAAGTGTGCTTCCCACAAGCTCATCTTCAGCTGTTCTTCCTTTCACGCCCTCCCTACCCCCAGGCTCACTTTGGAATCCTTCCTGATCTTATGTACTTCCTTCCCGGGGTAGCTCTTTGTTGTCCCCGGAAGGCAGCGTGATAGCCTTTAGCCTTTGGACCTCCACAGCCTTCTGTATTTCTTCCTAAACACTTTTGTTTTGCTTTCCATTATCTGTGAAATGTCACCTAGGTATAGTCTTTGATCTCAGGAACTTAACTATATCTTGCTTATCGTAACTCCTAAAGCATTTTAAAAGGTTTTTTATCTGTTCTTTATGAAACGCTTTTTACAACTGGGTAAATAGCTGGCCAGTTCAGGAAGTAACTGAATCAGGTTTCTCATTAAAAAGCGTGGTCAGGGTAGTTCTGTTTGTGCTTAGCAAATAATGGAGACTGTATGTGGACTGGACTTCCTGAAGCTCACCACTTCCGACAGGACCTTTCAGGGCAGGTTGCCCAGAGCCTACATCACACATCTCTGGGGCACAAACCGCGGTGTGTCCGTGGGGTCATCTTAGTTTGTTTCATGACAAGCTGCAGCCAGATTTGGCCTGCTGGCTACGCAGTGAATCCACTTATTCCTATTCGGTGTTTGTTTCTTCTTTACCTCTGTTAGAAAAAAAGATGGTGGGGGGTTGTCTATTTTTAGTTATTTTATTTTACTTATTTATTTTTTATTAATTTGCTATAGGGCACAGGTGTTCACGGAGAAAGAGAGAGAGAGAGAGGGACAGTGAGAAAGCAAGCCGCCGTCTGGGACTCAGACTGCAGTTGGCCATGTGGGATTCCAACACCTTAACCACCATGCCATTTGCCGGCCCGCAAAAAAAGTTTTTGTCTTTACCGTGTTTCAATGTGTTTTTTTAGCGGTCTGTCTTTCAACAACAATCCTGCATACAAAAAAATGGTTAATCTGAGGTACTATCAAAAAAAATGATCAGGCATATGCTTTTGATACAATGTAATTGAAATTACACTGCACTGCTTTTGAAATACTTTTTAAAAATAGAGTCCTTTAGAAGTAGAGTAAATACAGTCATATCTTTATGTTAGAGATATAGACTAACATACTTACAGATAATGGATTTGCTTTCGAATACTTCAGTGGGGGCTCAGGAAGTAGGTCAGCATCTGGGTCAGAGGTTGGCACACTTTTCCCGATAAAGGGCCAAGTGGTAAATGTTGGCACCGTTACGGGCCCTGTAGTCTGCTCTGGTGACCTTGGCCTGCCGCCGTGGCGGCGACACACGGCTGTGCTCTGTCGCACTGGGTCACAGACGCAGTCTGAAGGCTCTTTGCTGACTCCGGCACAGGGAGAGGAAGGGCCAGCCGTGTGTTGTCCCTCCCTTCATGCCCTCGCACAACAGTGAAGTTGATTTCACTTTCTCACTAGTGTCTTGTGTTCGAAATACTCCATGATAGAACACAAAAACCAGTTTCTTTCAAAGGTAAGATAATGCGGATGAAAGACTCAGCACTCGTGTATATGAAATGACTCGTGAAATTATTTCATCTTCTTCTGCCAGCTTCACTGCAGTCCTCAGTGCAACAGTATGAAGAACAGAACACCAGAATCAAGCAGTTGCTTGTGAGAACCAAGAAAGAACTGGCCGATTCCAAGCAAGCGGTACGTTAGTTTCTGTGCTTCGCATTTCAGTACTTACTCATAGCTTATTTGTGAGTAACTTCCTTTTTCAGTTTAACCAAGTTTCTCCTTCTATAGGAAACTGATCACTTAATACTTCAAGCGTCCTTGAAGGGCGAGCTGGAGGCAAGCCAACAGCAAGTAGAAGTCTATAAAGTAAGTTCTTGTACTTCTAGGATTGAGAAGAAAATTTCACGTAGAACTAAGGTACCATGCAGGGTGTTTTAGTTAGCCCATGAGGGTTTACTCTGTAAGATATTTAGAAAGATTTCTCAACACTTTGAAGTAGTAGAAGCAGTGAATCAAGTGTGGCATATAACGGGTATGCCATTCTGCTCAAGCCGGCATCCTTTCATGTGTTTGAAACCCGTAGTACACTGCAGCATAGTACTCAGTAAAGTAAACACGGCCTCTCTGCATCCACGGGGTCCGCATCCATAGGGTCAGCCAGCACAAGTGAAAATGCTGAGGGAGGCGCTGGCACATGGCATGTGGTTAGGGCGCTGGGCTCCCACATGGCCAACTGTGGTTCGAGTCTTGGACCCAGTGGCTTGAAGATCATGCCAGGTACATGTGTATGCATGCCCAAAGTCCTGAAAAGAGACTAGAAGAGAAGGGATTCGGTGTGACCACCCTTCTGGGGGGTGGTTTCTAACTTTCCCTCTCTCTGTCTCTGTAACTGTTTCTGTCTGTCTCTGCTGAGCACATTCGCCCTATGGCAAAAATCTGGAGGGAAAAAAAAAATGGCGAGCAAGTTGAGGGAGAAAAAAATATTTAGAAAATACAAATTTGGGAGGCCAGCAGATGCTGTGGCAGTTAAGGTGCTGGACTTCCACATGGCCAGTGTGGTTCAAGTCCCATACCTGGTAGCTTGAAAATCACGCCAAGTGCATGTGTGCCCAAAATCCTGAGAGGAAAATGGGGGAGAAGGGATTGTGGCATGGCCATACCCCCTGGGGGTGATTTTTCTATTTATTTCTCTCTGGCAAGCACACACACCCTATGGTAAAAAACTAAAATAAATAAATAAATATAGTACAAGAATATAACAACTATTTTTATAACAGTTTTACTTCACTAAGTTTTATAAATAATCTATATTAAAAGATGCCATAGGTTATATGCAAATACTAGACCACTTTTTTAATTTATTTTTTAAAGAATTATTTTATTTAACTTTATTATTAATATCATTATTATTTTTCAGTTTGATCAGAGAGAGAGAGAGAGAGGAAGTAAGAAAGCAAGCCACCAGGTCTGAGACTTGAACCGTAGTCGGCCATGTGGGAATCCAGCGCCTTTAGCCACCACACCACTTGCCAGCCCCAATACTAGACCATTTTATAAAAGGAACTCAAAGGGCCAGCAGGTGGCATAGTAGCTAAGGCACTAAACTCCCACATGGTCGACTACAGTTCAAATTCCGGACCTGGGGACCTGACACACCAGGCACATGTGCCTGAATGCCTAGAACCCCAGGAGGAGTATGGAGAGAAGGGGCTGTGGCATGGCCATCCCTCCTGGCAGGTGGTTCCTCACTGTCTGTCTGCCTGTCTATCTGTGGTGATTACATGTGTCCTATAGCAAAAATATCTCGTGGAAACAAAAAGAAGCTTGAGGGGTGGGTAACAGATCCCAGAACCAATCCCTCAGGGACAACTATATATTTATTATATAAAATATTTCGAAGTATTTAAACTTTATAAATATGTAGTCTAAGATTTCTTTTCCATGTTTGATTTTTTTTTCTGAGAGAGAGTGATATTTTTGCTCTAGGGCATGTGTGCTCACCAGAGAGATAGAGAAACAAGAAAGTGAGAAATCCACCCTGGGGAGGGGGGGGTGGCCATGCCACAGTCCCTTCTCCATTCTCCTCTAGGGATTCGGGGCACTCACACACACACACCTGGTGTGAATTTCAAGCCACGGGGTCTAGGACTCAAACCACGATTGACGTGTGGGACTCCAGAGCTTTAACCTGCTGGCCCCTCATGTGTGATTTATTGATTGATATTGATTTTTAAAAAGTCAATTATTTTAATGAAAAAATGTTCTACCCATGTAGTCTACTCTCTCAATAATAATACACTATTGTGAAAAATGGTCCACTGTTTAATTATGTATCTTATATATACTTAGCTCTCAAACCTCAACTTTGTTTAAGGAAAATTTCTTTACCCAGTAAAGGTCTGATTTACTGAAGCTAAATTTAAAGATTGTGTCCCCAGATTCAACTGGCTGAAACAACATCTGAGAAGCACAAGATTCACGAGCACCTGAAGACCTCTGCGGACCAGCACCAGCGCACGCTGAGCGCGTACCAGCAGAGGGTGACGGCGCTGCAGGAGGAGAGCCGCGCGGCCAAGGTGGGCGCCGCAGGGTCCAGCTGGGCTCGGGGCAGTGTCCTGGGGCTGAGAGTGTGCTCCCGCCCCGTGCTTAGTGGTGAATAGCACCTGGGACGCGCATGCCAGGTTCCGCTCCTCAGACTAGCCCCAGCCCCGTGCCAACACGACTATTTGGATAACTTTACAAAAGGAGAACAATGAGCGCATGTTGTCTCCGTGTCAACCTTATTTGACAACTTGTATTTATAAGAAAGTCACTTCCTTGTAAACGTTTATTTATTAGAAAAGAGAGGTCTTTTCTGAGAGCTGAATAATTATGCTAGCTTAATGGCTGTTGGCGCCTGCTCTCTTATCTTGGCATACGAAAGTGTGGAGGTGGTTTTCATGTCATTTCAGGAAAGTGGAAGAATAGAATTTAACTTTTACCATTTCTACTGAATTTCCACTGAAGTTCAAGTAACTTTAACTTCTTTAAGACTGAGTGATGGGGATCATGTTCTGAGAAATACATTGCTAGGTGATACCACTGATGTGCAAACCCCATAGCGTATACTTACTCGAACACACACGGCATAATGGCCTGCTACACATCCACGCACGCGGTGCGCCTATGCACCGGTAGGGATTGTCTATGTGTTTCCTGTTCGTTTTGTAGAGATTTTTGCTATAGGGCATATGCGTTTGCCAGAGAAACAGAGACAGACAGTGAGAAATCACCTCCCTCCAGAGGTGGTGGCCACACTGCAATCCCTTCTCCTCCTGGGGTGATGGCCACACCACAATCCCTTCTCCTCCTGGGGTGATGGCCACACCGCAGTCCCTTCTCTTCCCAGGAACATGGGCATGCACACACAAGTGCCTGCCATGAGTTTTAACCCACTGGATCCAGGATTCTAACTGCGGTCGACTTGTGGGAATCCAGCAATGTCATCGTTACACCGTCTGCTGGTCCCTAGCCTGTGTGTTTCTACTGTGCACCACCATCACACACATTCCATCATTGACTACAGCATTCTTCAGTGTGTGACCATCTTGATAAAAAGAGGGTGTATCATAAATGAAAATCTTCATAAAGTTGCAAAAGCAAATGGTGTCATAAATTTTATGGGTAAATAAATTAATCTTTCAGTAGAACACAGCAGAAACATCTCTTTTCAGACAAAATTATATTCATTCAAAGTCTTTTGAAAAGTGAAAGGCCGTCAGAATTGTACTTTTTAGCAATGTTATCAGGAAGCTAAGCAAAAAATGTCATTCTCATTTTTGAAAACAGGCTTTATTCCAATGTGTTAATTTCTGAAAGAAAATAGGATCTTGCTACTGTAGAAATTTTGTTCTCTCTCTTTTAAATGTTATAGGCAGAACAAGCTGCTATAGCCTCTGAGTTTGAGAGCTACAAAGTCCGAGTTCACAACGTTCTAAAACAACAGAAAAATAAATCTGTGTCTCAGGCCGAAACTGAAGGCGCCAAGCAAGAAAGGTAAAGTCTGAATTAGAAGAGGCACGCAGGGTCCACCCCTGCAAAGCAGGTTCTTCACCAAGTAGGTGGAAAAGCCTTTTCTGATTTCTTTTAGCTGTGGAGTTTTACTTATAATTACCCATGGGAACAGTTTTTCTTGGCTTCCCTGGGTATCCAGACAGTAACAAGGAAATGTCACTCTGAAGGGCATCGTTGGCACATTCCAAAAGATGTTAAAGTGAGCAGCAAGGCAGGATAGGGTCTGAGGTGTAGGTGAAGGCGAATCTGAAGACAGCCCTGTAGCCTGATGACTAAGGAAGCCAGGCCCGTGTGGCCAGCTGCAGTTCTGATCCTGGCCCGGTGAGGAGAAAGGTTCTGTGAGTGCGTGCGTGCCCCGGGTCCCAGCAGCACGGAGGAAGGCTGGAGAAGGGCCGTCACATGACCAACACCGCCGGGGCGCTTTCTCCCTGGGCCTCTCTCTCTCTGGCAAGTACACATATCCTCTGACCAAACAAACAGATTCTGGTCACAGTATAAATGCATTCAAATGACATTATGATTAGTTTTTCCAGGTATAAAAATTAAGAAGTGGAAGAATGAGGGTCTGGCGGGTATTATGATGGTTAGGGGCGCCAGACTCCCGCATGGCTGACCGCAATCTGAGGCCTGACCCTGGCAGCTCGCTTTCTCACTTTCCCTCTCTTTGTCTCTCACTCTGCCCCTCTCTGGTCAAATTGAAATAAATAAGTAAATGGATAAAGTTAAATAAGATAATTCTTTAAAAAAAAAAAGGGGGAAAGAATGAAAATGCATTTTGATTTTTTTTTTTTTAAGAATTTAAGAGAGTTTTGCTTGCGCTCACTGGTGAGACAGAGGGACGAACGCAAGAAATCACCCCCCAGGAGGGATGGGCACATACGCACACGCGCCCAGCATGAGTTTCAAGTCGCAGGGTCCAGAGTTCGAACCACTGTCAGCTGTATGGGAGTCCAGTGATATAAACACTGCACCATCTGCTGGTTCCAAAAACGCTCTCTTAATAGACATACTCACCATTGATTATTTAAACAAAAGCTGTTTACACATACTTTATTTGGGGTCCAGCCAGTCTTACCATGGTTAAGGTACTGGATTCCCACGTGGCTGACTAGGGTTCAAGTCCCAGGCCTAGCGACTTGAAAAGCATATCAGACACATGTGTGCGTGCCCAAAAATCCCAAGAGAAGAATGGAGAAGATTGCATGTAGCCAACCTCCCAGGGATGATTTCTCACTTTACTTCTCTCTGTCTCTCTCCTGCAAGTACACATGCACTATGGCAAAAAAAAAAAAAAAAAAAAACACAAAATAAATAAATAAAATAAATATAAAAATGTCCGGACATGCAAGAGCTGTTTTTGATCATGTCTGAATTTCAGGTCAGATTATTTAAATGTAAATGTTTTAAGTTCCTTTTACTGTCTTAAACATTAAACACATTTTTTAAAAAAGAAACTTACAGTTTATTGTACTGATTATGGCAGAATTTGGGACTTCAACTGCTTTTTCTCTGCTACCTAGGTTTTTATTTTCCCTTTTCTCTTTCTATTTTCTAATTGTTAGAGGGTACAGGTGGGCTCAATAGAGAGAGCAAGCGAAAGAGAGGGAGAAAGCACCCCAACAGACTGTGGTTATACTGCACTCTGCCATCTTCCATGTCTCCACCCTGCCAGGGTTCGGGTGTGCATGCTCCTGTGTTCAGCATGTTTTTCAAGCCACCAAGGCCAAGATTTAAGCCACATGGTTGGCCAAGTGGAATCTAGCTCCCTTAATCACTAGGCTACAGGGCTAACCCACCTAATTTTTTATTGCAGCCTAGAAAGACCTGTTTTTCTTCAGGGCTTGTCTTTCCCTGTACCTTGGTCTGAAGTGCCATCCTCATAATAGTTAACTAGGTGACTTTTTTTTAGTTATTATATTTAACTTTATTTATTGTAATTTGACCCGAGAGCGACAGAGTAGGGGTTGGAAAGTGAGAAAACATGCCATCAGGTTTGGGACTCAAACCATGGTCGACCATGTGGGAGTTCAGAGCCCTTAACCACCATGCCACCTAACGGCCCTGTGACTTTTTTTAATGACAAATTCCTGTAATGTAAGATAGGCTATTTTGATGTTATTTAAATATTTTCCATTTGAATATGAAATTTAAAAATCAAGCAACTTTTTTTAGAATTAGTTTTAATCATTGTTTTTTTTTGTTTTTTTTTGTTTGTTTGTTTGGTTTTTTTTGAGGTTGACCAGAGAGAGAAGGAGAGTGAGAAAGCAAGCTTCGAGGTCTGGGACTCGAACTGCAGTCTGCCATGTGGGAGTCCAGCCACCCTAGCCACCGCGCCCCTGCTGGCCCCAAGAAACGTTTTTTATAAATCCATAGTGCCTGAAATTTAAAATCTAACTGTATTATTCATTAATCCTAATCTCTGAATTAATTCTGATTACTATATTTTCTTAAAAATCATTTGTAATAACAAGACTATGACATTGGAAGAATAAATTATTAAAATATATTTGAAACCACCAAATTGGGTTCACCTCTTTCAAAGAACATTTTCTGACTCTTTGTATCTGTTTAGGGAACACCTGGAAACGCTGATTGACCAGCTGAAAGTGAAGTTGCAGGACAGCCAGCATAACCTGCAGATCACCACCTCTGAGTTCCACGCACTGCAGTCTGAGCACGACACTCTGCTGGAAAGGCACAACAAGATGCTACAGGAGACCGTGTCCAAAGAGGCAGAGCTCCGGGAGAAGTAGGTTGCTAACTCACTGCCCCTGTACCAGGCACCACACACTTCCTCGCTGGAACTCCCGATGCGGGTCCCGGGGTAGATGAGAAACAGACTTTTCTAAAGGCATGCAGACTGCATTATCTGTGTGAAAGCTTCCACTTCACCTTTGGGTTTGTCTCAAGTTTACTTATTCATTTATTTCATGAGAGGGAGAGAAGTAAAAGAAGTGAAAGGGCTCCTAACAGACTCTTTACACATGATACACCCCTGGTCTCATCCAGCCTGGGTCTTGGCCATGTCAGAGAACCCCCAAGATGCAAACTTGGGGGGGTCAGGTTGCACTATTGCTGCACCACCATCTGGCCCCCCTTTGGATTACCTTTGTTATTTATCATTTTTAAGAATAATATATGTTGGGACCAGCAGTTGGCATAATGGCTATGTTGCTGGCCTCTCATGTAGTCAACTGTGGGTCAAGTCCCAGACCCAGTGGCTTAAACTCACGCTGGCTGTGGGTGCATGCCCAAGATCTCAAGAAAAGAATGAACGAGAAGGGATTGCAGCGTGGCCATCCCCCCTGGAGGTGATTTCTCACTGTCTGTATCTCTGTCTCTCTCTGTCTTTCTGGCGAGCGCAAGTAGCCAAGACCTCTCCAAAAACAAAGAATAATATATGTTGAGGCCACCAGGTGGTGTAGTGGTTAGGGTGTTAGACTCCCACATGGCCAACCATGGTTCAAGTCCTGGACCCGGCAGCTTGAGACTTACAGACTTACATCACACGTGTGTGTGTGTGTGTGTGTGTGTGTGTGTGTGTCCAAATCCCAGATCCCAACAGAAGGGAGGAGAGGGGATTGCAGCATGGCCATCCTCCGGGGGCGGGGAGGATCTCTCACTTTCTGTCTTTCTGCTCCTCTTTGTCTCTCCGACGAGTGCACGCACCCTATAGCAAAATTCTCAAAAAAAAGAAAGAAAGAATAACTGACGTTTATCTGCTCATCCAGTACTCTGCCTCTCCTATAGCCTTCATAGCCAGGGTTTTTCTGATTTCCCCTGAGTTTATTTCTTCCATGGTCTGTCTACCTTGAGACATAGGCAACCCTGACAGCATCTTCCACTGCAGTCCACCACAGCCCAGCCAGCCTAGGTCACAGGCACGTCTGCACCTGGCACGAACAGGGCGACTCCAGACAATAACAGGGACTCTCCATGCGGGCCCAGCTGAGTTCCTGCTGTTCCATTGTTTGGCCCCCTGAGTGATTGTTTACAAGAAAGAAACACTACTTTCCAACCCAGGTGTCAAATCACAAACATCTTTTTCTTTCTTTCTTTCTTTTTTTTCTTTTTTTTTTTTTTTTTGAGAGAGAGGTTTTTGCTATAGGGCATATGTGCTCCCTGGAGAGACAAAGAGACAGAAAGCAATAAATCACCCCCCCAAGGGGAGATGGCCATGCTGCCATCCTTGCTTCTCATTTCTCCTCTGGGGATCTTGCCATGTACACACACACCCACGACTGGTGTGAGTTTTAAGTCGCTGTGTCTGGGACTCAAACCATTGCTCAACTATGTGGGAACCCAGTGACACAACCATTACACCACCTGCTGGTTTCACAAACATTTTTTTCTTAAGAGGAAAATGTTCGAACATGCTTCTTGAAAAACACTATGAAGCAGACGTTAGGAATATTGTCAGAACCGGTTATTGTACAGAGAAGCTTTGAAGTCCTGCACTGAAGAATGTGGGCCGTGGGGGTTGGGCAGTGGCTCAGCAGTGTGTCGCTCTGCAGGCAGACCCATGCCAGGGTTCCAGGCACACAGTCCTGAGTACACTGGGCCCATGCTGCCCACAGTTCGGGGTAGGCCAAGGTGAATTGTGGTATTTCTCTGTCTCTTGCATTCAAAAAAGAAAGAAAGAACTTCAGAAGAGAAGAAAATAAACTGGGTGGTAGTATTCATTGTATCTTAGAATGACAAAAGCAGTCCTTGGCTGAACTTTGCTCGTCCCGGGCAGTCAGGTAGTTAAGCATCTCAGATGTGCTCATAGTGCAGCCTTACTTTCTATGGAGACCTGGACGGTCGGAGCACTTGGGTTGCCTTGGCTTGCACTGTCTTTTAACAGAATGATTTACATATTAATCATGTGAACTAAAAGTATCTTAACTACCAATCACCAGGATTTACCATGAAATTGGCTAATATATAGTGATGCTTACTTGGTGTTTTCATCAGAAATTTCCAACACTTAATTTTTTGATAATAGGAAAGTTATGGCATCCAAAGTATAATTTCATGGCTTTAAAGTAATTATTCAGTAAATATTTTTCTGAGCACTTACTAAGTGCTGACCACTCTTCTAAGTGCTGGAAACTCACAGCATTTTGGGTTGTTTTGTTTGTTTTTAGCCATAGAGCAAGTGCACTTGCCAGAGAGAGACACGGAGACAAGGAAGGTTAGAATCCCCTCCCCGCAAGGATGGTCACGCCACAGTCCCTTCACCTTCGGGGTCGTGGACAGGCATGCACACACGCCCAGTGTGTTTTCAAACTGCAGGGTTCAGCCATGTGGGATCCAGCATCTTAAACAGCATACCACCACATTTCACGTCATCTTCAGGGGTATTCCTCCTCGCTTTCCCAGGAATTTTAGAAACTAATGGCATCGTTACTGCGTGCACTGGGAGCGAAAAAATAGCCTTGCCTTTCTATGGTCTCTCCTTCTTAAAATGGCTTAATATTTATTTTTTCCTATGAGATTGTGAAGTCGGCCCCATAGGAGTGTGGTATTAAGCCAACCACTGAACACTTACATTTTCCAGAGGGCCCAGCTGATAGAAACTCCCTGGCAGCTGCCGGGACGAGATGACTCAGCTCTCAGCATGACTGTACATTCCAGGTGAGGGCTTAGAGCATCTGATTCCCAAGTGGGTAAACGTAAAAGTGTCGCTGAATTGGACTGTAATGGAACGTTGTCTTCCTCTGGAATTAGTTGTGGCTGTCAGTGGCTCTTCCGTACCTGTTTGGTAGATAAGCTCCAACAGAATGCGTGCTGAGAAGCGTACACTCTAGCACTCTCTAGGCTCGTAAACCAGTATGAACGTGACAGGTAAGGTACCTTCCCCAAGCACACAGTGTCTTACTACATTTCTTCCTTTAGACACTACGTCCTGCTTTACATCCTGCACGGTGCACACGAGGTCGTGAGTAGAAAGCACGTCTGGGAAAGTTACACCCCAGCCGGGAACAGTGCTCAGCCCTGGCTTCTGCCGCTTACGCTGCAGAGGCGGCAGGGTGTAAAGGCACTTGCTCTTTCTGCATTGTATTGCTTGCATTTAATGAGAGTATTTGGGAATCCCTTATCTAGAAAGGAAAGTATTTGTCATTGTTGTTTTACCACAATATCAAGAGCACAAGTACATTATTAAAGTGGTTATTTCCCATTGCAAGTCCGCCGGCTGGTGTGAGACTGACGACATCAGTCACATGGCGACTACCGGAAGTAGGCAGTTTCGCAGATTCTGACTCGGTGGCTCTGGGACAGAGACTGGATGTTCCAAGGGCATATGCCGGAGAGAGGGCTGGGGGCCAGAGTCCCTCTTCTCCCACCGTTCAGAGATTTGGCCATGCACACACACATGCCCAGCATGTTTCTCACACACCGGGTCTGGGACTTAAACCCTCCGAGTCCACGTGGGATCTGGCCACCTTAACCACCACTCCGTGGGCTGGCCCACATGTCTGTATGTAAAAAAGTGCCCCGGCAGTTCTGAAGTGTATTGAGATTTGTAAATAGCCACATAGTAAACTGGCCTGTGTACTTACATGTTTCTTGTTAATTGACTCAAGTAGATATTTTCCTTTAAGGCTTTTTGTTTGTTTGTTTTTTGGAGAGGTTTTTGCTATAGGGCGTGCGCTCGCCAGACAGACAGAGAGAGACAGAAAGACAGAAAGCGAGAAATCACCCCCCAGGGGGGATGGCCACGCCACAATCCCTTCTCCTCCATTCTCCTCTCAGGATCTTGGGCACGCACACACACGCGCCCAGCGTGGTTTTTAAGCCACCGGGTCTGGGACGCAAACCGTGGTCGACTACGTGGGAGTCCAGCGGCATAGCCATTACGCTAACTGCTGGTCCCTTAAGGCCTTTTTTTTAACTTTTTTATGTTTTTAGGGTAATAAAGAGAAAGGTTGACTAATCTTGTTTTTATGTGAACTGACACAAGAAACACTTACATTTATTTATTTATTTATTTATTTCGAAGAGGTTTTTGCTATAGGGCACGTGCGCTCGCCAGGACAGAGAGACAGAGAAACAGAAAGCAAGAAATCACCCCTTAGGGGGAATGGCCACTCCACAATCCCTTCTCCATTCTCCTCTTGAGATCTTGGGCACACACACACGCACACGCACCCGGCGCGAGTTTTAAGCCACCAAGTCTGGGACTCCAACCACAGTCAACTACATGGGAGTCCAGTGACAGCCATTACGCAAACTGCTGGTCCCAAGAAACACTTTTAATAACATTAAAACATTAAAAGTGGGGCCAGCAGGTGGCATAATGGTTAAAGCACGAAACTCCCACATGGCCAACTACAGTTCAAGTCCTGGACCTGGTGGCTTGAAACTTACCAGGTGTATGCCCAAAATCCTGTGAGGAAAATGGAAGAGAAGGGAGTGTGACATGTCCATGCCCTCTTGGGAGTGATTTCTCACTTTATCCATTTGTCTGCTATAGGCTGAGCACACACGCCCTACAGCAAAAATTCACTCTAAAAAAAAAAATTAAAAAGTGTAGAGAACAGCAGTTAGGATAATGGCTATGTTGCTAAACTCCCATGTAGTCGATCGCAGTTTGAGTCCTGGACCTGGTGGCTTAAACTCAGGCCGGGTGTGTGTACATACATGCATGCCCAAGATCCCGAGAGGAGAATGGAGGAGAAGGGATTGCGGCGTGACCATCCCCCCTGGGGGGTGATTTCTCACTTTCTGTCTCTCTCTGTCTGTCTGGCGAGTGCACGCGTCCTATAGCAAAAACTTCTCCAAAAGAAAAATTAAGAAGTGTAATTATTTTGTGCTCTAAATATAGTCCTGTTCTCTGATGAACCATGATGGGAGCTTCTTGTCTGGGTGACGTGACTTTCTCAGGACGGGTCCTCATCAAATCTGAGGTGCACAGAGAGCGGATTGAGCTGGGTGACAGTCGGAGTCAGTTCCCAAGGCCTCACACAACTAGTGCACCAGCAAGGAGTTCAGAGCAGGCCGCAGATGGCTTAGGGCTCCTCATCTCACGCAGCCCAGTTGAGAAAAGCTCAGTCAGCATATAAAGTTGAAAGGTTTTATGTGAGCAAGTTTCTCTCACCCTGTAGGTTGTGCTCAATCCAGTCAGAGAACATGATGCTGAAGTCTGAGCATGCCCAGACTGTGGGCCAGCTGACATCCCAGAATGAGGCCCTTCGCTCCAGCTTCCGCGATCAGGTGCGGCACTTGCAGGAGGAGCACAGGAAGACGATGGAGACTTTACAGCAGCAGCTCTCCAAGGTGGAAGCTCAGCTCTTCCAGCTTAAGAACGAACCAGCCACAAGAAGTATGTATGTACCCATGCAAGTGCTAGTAGTCCCGGTTTCCGTGTATTTGTGTCACTTAAATACGTTCTTCCCGAAAGCAGAGAACTTACTAGGTGACAACCAAGGTCGGTTCTGTTGACGGACTTGGATTTGCTTACTGAAGAGGTACGTGGGTATGCTTACAGCAGCCCTCCTATAGCCTCTTAACATACAGTTTTCCTGTGCTTGTTTCCCTCTGTGTACAGGGGTATTTCTTCTTCTCTGACTTCATCCTCTGTCAGTCTCATGACATGTGTCCTCAGTCCAGGGTTCATTGTATCTGGTGTTTTCTGTTAGTCATCAAATATATACTATTTTTTTCTTTTTTTCATTTATTTATTTACTCTTACATTTTTCCACAAACATTTACTTTAGATATCAAAACATTTTTGCTTAGCTTTTTTCCCCTGTAGTGCTTTGGGCCTGCAGGTCGGCTGCAGCCGCGGGTCTCTGTTCCGCAGGATGGGATTTGTTAAAGTCGTCAAGAATAAAGCCTACTTTAAGAGATACCAAGTGAAATTTAGAAGATGACAAGAGGATAAAACGGATTACTGTGCTCAGAAACGCTTGGTGACCCAGGATAAAAATAAGTACCACACCCCCAAATACAGGACCATAGTTCGTGTAACTAGCAGAGTTATCAGTTGTCAGATCGCTCACGCCCGTATGGAAGGGGGTGTAATCGTCTGCACGGCTTATGCACACGAACTACCAGAACACGCTGTGAAGGCTGGCCTGACAAGTCATGCTGCAGTGTATTGTACTGCCTGCGCTGGCCCGCGGGCTTCTCAGTAGGTCTGGCATGGACAAGATCTAGGAAGGTCAAGTGGAAGTGACCAGAGATGAGTACAATGGAGAAAGCATCAGTGGTCAACCTGGTGCCTTCACCTGCTATTTGGATGCAGGCCTTGCCAGAACCACCACTGGTGATAAAGTTTTTGGGGCCCTGCAGGGAGCGGTGGATGGAGGCTTATCTGTCCCTCACAATGCCAAACGATTCCCTGGCTATAATTCTGAAAGCAAGGAATCTAGTGCAGAGCCCATCCGAATCACATCATGGGCCAGAACGGTGCAGACTACATGCGTTACCTGATGGAGGATGAAGACGCCCACAAGAAACAGTCCTCTCAGTACACGAAGAACAGTGTGCCTCCAGACACGGAGGAGATGTAGAACAAAGCTCACACTGCTATACGAGGGAGCCCAGTCTATGAGAAGAAGCCCAAGGAAGAAGTTAAAAAAGAAGAGCTGGAATTGTCCCAAGATGTCCCTTGCCAGAAGAAAGATCGAGTAGCCCAGAAGGCAAGCTTCCTCAGAGCTCAGTAGCGGGCTGCTGGGAGCTAAACCAAACAATTTTCTATGACTTTATTCAAGATAAAGATAATAAATGTAACAGCAAAGAAAAATTTTTTTGCTTATACTCCATAGTTCTTGATAGTTAATAAACAACTTTCAGAATTTTAAAATACTGAATTTTAAAGATAATATTCAAAATATTTCTTATAATTTTGTTTGTCACTCTATAACAACAGAGACAGTATGGTTTTAAATATTTTTGAGAAAATATTTCCATGTCAACTACTCAAATTGTTGAGAAGCAAATGCCTACCACACAAGCCACCCACAGACCTTCTCAATCCAGCCCTGCCTACCAAGTATTCTGTGATACACCATCTCCTAGCAAAGATCAGTCTCTTTTTCTTCCTTCAAAGTCTTTCTCAAGATAATCCTCTGGTGTGGTTGCTCTTTTGCAATCTCTACTGATTACAATGCCGGACTGGAAGAGTCCAGGTTGTTTTATGTTATAAATTATTTCATATATCTTCTCTAATCCTCTCTGCCGAGCAGAACTATTTATGGTGCCAGACCATCTTTCTAAGAGCTTCTGTTGGCTTATTGAGATTCACCTTAGTTCCATAGTTTTCTGATTAATCTTCAAGTATGACATTCCGGTCAAAGCCCTGTCCAATAATGAGTATTTCCAATTTCTGATTCAATGCAACAAGCATTATTGAGTTTATGCAAATAATCTTAGTGCCACAGAATAAGAGTACTCCCAAATATTTTCCAATTCCAGAGGAGTCAGGAAGGAAGAAACTTTTATACTTCCATTTAAAGAAACAAACAAGAAAAATGCTTTAACTAATTGATGAACCTGTCAACACCTCAAAAGAAAGTAAAATGCTTAAATTGGGAAAACAAAGCATAGTTTTAAAAAATCAGTAATGTTTTACTCAAAATTAGTGAAATTGTATTTCGCCAGTTCAGTCTTACATTCAAACTCTGTTCTGTTGAGTATGCAGTGTTGCTGTGGTCCAATCTTTCCATCTAAATCCTGGAAGTTAACATTCAATATTATTATTGATATTTCTTTTCCCTAGCATTAATTGGTCATTTTCTTGGTTGCCTTTTTTTCTCTTATTTCTCTATGTGTCTTCAGTTTTCCTGGTAGAGCACTCCTTTCAGAACTTCTTGAAGAGTGGGTCTGCTATTGGCAAATTCTTTCAGGTCTTGTTTATCTGAGAATGTTTTTATCCTTTCTTTCCATATGAAAGATAATCTTGCTGGGTATAGTAGTCTTGGTTGAAACTGTTTTTCACTTAACACTTCGAATATATTTTTCTATTCTTTCTGCTCACATTGTTTCTGATGAGAGGTCTGAGGTTAGCCTGATAGGATAACCTTTATAAGTAACCTGACATTTCTCTCTTGCCAATCTTAGAACCTTGTCTTTGTCTATAGATTTGACCAGTCTGGCTATGATGTGTCTTGGAGAAGATCTTCTTGGTTTGATTCTATTAGGGGTCCTTCATATTTCTTGGATCTGGATATTTGATAGCCTCTCTAGATTTGGAAAGTTTTCTCCAAGATTTCATGGAATAAATTATCAGTGCCCTTATTAGTTTCCTCACCTTCTGGGATACTGATTATCCAGATGTTTGGGCACTTAATGCTGTCTAGTATTTCTCATATAGTAATCTCATTTGTTGTTGTTGTTATTTTCTCAGTTTTTTTGTGGTTTTTTCTAGATCAGAGATTTTGCCTTTAACACCCGAGATTCAATTTTCTGCATGGTCTAATTTGTTTTTAATACTTTCAAGGGAGGTTTTGATTTCCTGAACGGCAGCCTTCATCTCGAATAGCTCCATCTGATTCTTTTTTATGGTGCGTATTTCCTCTTTTACATCATGGAAGAACTCCAACACCTCCTGGAACTCATTGTCTCTTTTCTCCTGCATCTTCTGGAGTTCGTTATCTCTCAGCTCTTGCATCTCAGATATTTTTGTCACTATGAATATTCTGAATTCTCTGTCAGACATTTTCACGAAATCTACTGTACAGCCTGTGGGTGATGAGGGATTGCTCTTTTCCCTTAGGGGAGATATTTTCTTGGTTTCTCATGTTCTTTGTGCCTCTGCAATGGCATCTGGTCATTCTGTGATAAAATCTCTCCTCCGCTGTGCTTCGCAATATAGTATCCTCAGAAAGAGATTAGGAGTTCAGATTTATAAGAAGAAATTTCGTCCATAAAGCAGGAGGTTCAATAAGCATTGAGGATTTCAGTGAATCTAAAAGTAATCAGGCGCTTGGCTACTGTGCACTCAGGCCTATCAAGACATTCAGTGTATGGAGAGTGAAGTGTAGAGTTGGAAAATGAAGTTAAAAAAATAAAAGCAAAGAGAAAAGAAACTAGAAAAATACTAAAAAAAATACTACATAAAAAAAATACTACGTAAAAAAATACTACTAAAATACTACTAAAAAAGTACTACTAAAATACTACATTAAAAAATGAAAACTGTGTTGGGAACCAGCAGTTAGCGTAATGGCTATGTCGCTGGATTCCCACGTAGTCGACCGCGGTTCGCGTCCCGGACCCGGTGGCTTAGAACTCATGGCGGGCGCATGTGCGTGCGTGCCCAAAATCCTAAGAGGAGAATGGAGGAGAAGGGATTGCGGCATGACCATCCCCCCTGGGGGGTGATTTCTCGCTTTCTGTCTCTATGTCTCTCTGTCTGTCTGGCAAGCACACACACCCTATAACGAAAACCTCTCAAAAAAAAAAAAAATGAAAACTGTGAGGCACCACGTGAACAGGCCAGGACACACCTCAGCTTTAAAATGACTCCTGAAATTAGCAAGGGAAAGAAAAGTCCCAAGGTGAGAAGTGGTTGAGAAATTTAAAAAAAGAAAAATTAATTTAAAGAGAGAGAGAGCATGAGACAGAGAGACAGACAGACAGAAACAGAGGATTGAGGTCACCCTACCTTGTCTGCTTATCTGGATATTTCAGAAGCCTAGAAGATGGAGTTTAGCGCATAGCTTCCCTGAACAGGACAGGACACAGATCAACTTTAAAATGGCTGCTTTTTTTTTTTTAAGGAAAAAAAAAAGTCTTTTAATTACAAACTCAATCCATTTGGTGTATTTCAAAAGCTGCAATACTTTTCTTAATTTATCAGTGAAAGAAGTTAGAAATTAACTTCCAAAAAAATCAGCAAATGGCAAACAGATTTCTTTGAACATCACAGTCACATATATAGTGCATCCTAGAAAAGAGGAGGGCAAGACAGGTTCCACCCACTCTCATGAGTTTCATCAAACACTGGATCTACTCAAGGACGAACAGAAAAGGCAAGTTTCAGGTTC